TACGTCAAGCATGAAAATATTTGTAGTAACAGTATTATTATTATTATTATTATTATTATTATTATTATTATTATTATTATTATTATTATTATTATCATCAGTACAATTAGTGATAATTGTAATGATTACGCTGGTATAGGATTTTGTAGCGTATTTTTGTGAAGTTAAGCTAGACTGTGCTTGATGAAATGCCCTGACATCCACCCAAAGACAATTATTTTTATCCATACAGCATAAATATTTCGTTTTCAGTTGTATTTGTTCTTTCAAAAACAATCGCTTGCCTCGGCTGTGTTTTTTAAAGGTTTTCGAAACTAGTTCTGCATCACTTGTTCGTAGTTTTTCGACCAAAAACGTCCCCCACCAAAAGAAAAAAGGTTTGTTTTTGTCTTCTTAATTTTAAAATATCTATATATTTTAAAATAGATCAAATCGTCTTCTGGATTTTTTTATTTTAACGACATATATATATATTGTATATCCTTTCCCTGCTGCAGAACACATATGAATAAAAAATCTACTTTAAAGATGTACTTATTCCTATAGTTATTCGTGTTTTATTTGATTAAATCTGGAAGCCCATGCCTTAACTCCAAAAACACGTAACAGAGATCAGTTGATTTTCGAGCAACGTGGGATTTATGGCATTTAAAATATTTTGTACTATAAAACACTAAAACATACATTTAAACATCGCAACTATTACACACAATCTTGAGTAATTATAGAAAAAAATGAGGACGCGTGTACCGTTTTAATATGTTACAAATCAAATGCTTTTGCCTTACGGTATGTAATCCATTGTAAATGGAGCCCATGTGAGTTATTGATAATTGATTGGATGACTGATTGGTTTATTTAATCGTTGACTAATTGATGCTTAAAACAGTATGCAATAAATTACGAACAGGAGTTTGTCGTCTCGTTTAATCTGTAGCGGAATTCAAAACAGCGGGGGAAAAAAGTTGGCCTAGGCAATTTGCTTTGCGTTAATTTCCAAGTTAACCTTTAATTAACTTAATTTAATTAACCGTTAATTTCTTTCCGTAGTCTATTCATATCAGTCTGTATGATGAATATAACTTTGACATACTGTATGTAGTTCAGGTGGGGAGCTGCGTCAGCATGCGTAGGCTGCAAAGGAACAAGTAATAGGTTTATTCCCTGCTGAAAAGAGAAGAAAGAAAACACAACGTATCGGCCGTGGAGTCTTATTCAGATCTTTCTCCTCTTTTCAGCAGGCAATAAACCTATGACTTGTAACTTTCTACCTTATTTGATTTGAAAATGCGAATTTGTAAACGATCAAAAGAATGTTAAAACGTTGTTGAGAACAATAAAACTATTTCCAATTTCATTTCGCAGTTTCGAAAATACATCTCTGACTAATTCTAAAGTTGAATGTTTTTCGATTGGTAAAAATAATGGGATGTAAAAATTAATGCATTGCTGCTAATTATTCTTAACAGTCAACTTTTGGTTTTGGAAAAGCAAATTCGACAGATTCAGGAATTAAATTATTCGTTATTTGGGTTAACATTAGACGTGGTTTCTTAAGAATGTGCATTAATGGCAACCGTGGAATGCTTTTTTCACTTAAATATACATCGTCTGAAAGTACCGAATTTATTTTCTGATTTTTGGGCACGGAAAGCTTAGCTTTGGTCACGAGATTTATAAAGCGTATAGAGGTTTCAGGGCAAATTTTTTTTTAAAACCCAAAGCGGCGTGTTAGTTTCAGAGTCTCTCCCTAGTGACGTTTAACAGCCTCGCCACCAGCGCACACGGAGAAGTAAGAACAGAAGTTTCCCTAAAACACAAAATGGGACAACTCAAACCATGTCTTCGGTGGGTCAAACGAGTGGCCATCGAGTGACCCGCGAGGTGGAGGTCAGTCAGAGTTCAGAGAAAACTGCAAGTGGCCTTACAACCGGTTTATTTGTTTAATTCCAAGGACTCGGCAAATATGTCAAACATTAGTCCAGTAAAAAAAAAGAATATTGGGGAGAACGCATAGATATTTCCATTTTATACCAACTTTCACAGTTAAAACGACCGCGCTTCCGAAGTCGTCACGTGAAAGCGCAACCTCTTGTTTTATCGGGAACTCCGCTAATTTGATATTAAAATCCGATAATCCTATTAATTATACAAACAAAGGACAAAAGTGCGTGTGTAAGCCGACAGTGTTACAAGATAGCGAATTTGACCAGAAAGGGCATAATACTTCAAAAGTTCTTGAAAATTGTTTCTAGGAACATTTGATGACTCATTTCCTTAAACTGCGTGTAGAAAATGGACACATTTTCCACAAATCGTGTCATCTCTTATCCGTTTTAGAAATATGCAGAGCAGTTAAATTCTCATGTTTTTTTTACATTATTTTTTTTTCTAACCAGTTGATGACTCATTATAAACGATTGAGACTGAAAAGGTTACTGCATGAGTTTCAATTCAAAGTCCAATTCACGTTAGCTGTTAGTTAGCTGCTTTTGCCATGTATATTACATGCAAATGCGTAGTTTGTGTTAGACGTTATAATAATGGATCGTGTTACTGTCGGAGCCATTGTGGCGACCCGTTTACATTAGTGAACCCCCTGCTGAGTGAGTGCATTAGAGGGGCGAAAATATTGCATCAATTGAGAAGACTGTATATTGGAGATCTCATTGCTTCAAAACGGAGCTAACGGGGATTAAAAAAAATACTAGAAAGCTAACAAATACCAATATTTTCCGTATTGGACATGTGAGTAAGGGGGTGAACAGACGTTCTTCTGTTTGGTGCGCAAATGCGCACACAGCCGCCACTACGCGGTATGTTTCCCCCTACGTTTCTCACAAAACAATATTTTAAATTTACCACCATATGTTCTCAGCATGAAGACGTGTTAATATGAGGGCCGTTTCTCAGACCTCCTCTCCGCACAGCCCGCCGTCCCGCAGTAGGTAGAGACCGCTTGCGTGACGCCACTGGCGGTGTCAGAGAGGTTTAGTAGAAGGGTATCAAAGTCCTGAATTTCACCATCGAGTGACTATATACCAACACACGACTCCTGGGCTGGGTCCTATCGTTCAGGGACGCTCTTTAATTTACAGCTTGTTTGCGTGAGTGTGTGTGTGTTTTTAGCGGTGTTAAAGGTTAGCGAAATCGACCTGGTTCAGTTCAGCTGATGCCTGCAACAGTTCTTGCATAACCCTCTAATGTGGGGAGGCTGGCTAAACAAACAGCAGAGGCACTAAACCGTGTTTTTAACTACCTGATTGTATTAGGGATTAGCTGAATTGCTGCGCAGCCAGAGAGCCCAAGGTATTGCGTTAGGAGAGGCTGGGGGGTGGGGGGACATGCGCTTTTCGAGGAGCGTGGAGTCCGCGTCCTGAGGCAGTGGGGAGGCTACAGGTTAGGTCTGTGCGGTGCTGCGATCGGTGGAGACTGGCTTAGCTCTTCGTTTGTGTGTTGTATCATCTAAACGGGGACCCGAAATTGCCCGAGTCCTCCTGCTACTGCAGATTACTTCCAATTGAGTTGTTTTCACACGTCTTATTTTGATTTCTGCCCAGAATGGTCGCTGCCAAACACAATCCATATTATCGGCTTTTGAAAAATGGGGGAATGTCTTAAGTGTGCTAACACCTGTTAGCTTTTAATTCCACTAAGGTATACTAGATACAGAGTCTTAGTCTGAGGTTCAGTGGATGTACTATGAATCTGTGTAAACAGTGATTAATTTTAAATATAAACTTTTTTGTTATAACCTTTTTTTATTTTATGTCCGAGCATCACAATCAGGAAAATAGAGTTGTTTTCTAAACTTTTGGGTTTTTCAGATATTTTCGCTTGCAGGCTACTTATGTAACTTCAGAGATTCTTACATAAATCACACTCCCTTTAGATTGAGTTTGCACCGTACAAGCACGTTTTAAAAACTAGCTGGAGTGCATCATACCTCAGCGTATATACTGTATCTTTATCCATGATGCACAGCGACCACTATTTGGCAATGTCAGATATTTCTTTTAAAATGCTTCTATTAAAAGCAGCACAGTGTACTTCATCAAGGTCACTAGACAGTTCCTGTTACCCTATGATATGATGTCATTTTTCTTATCTGTCTTCAACGTGCACCAGGGCAGTGTTAGCATTTAAGGCTGGAAAACAAATGTAAGTTTGCATTGCATTGAAGCACGGGCACTGTGGTGAGGAATCAGCCTCTCACCTGGTGTAGAAAGAGAGTGGGTATACGTTCCTCACCTTAGGCATGATTGAACAGCACTGTTCACCTGCAGCAGAGCTGCTCAGATGCCATTTCAGTCACATACAGTGTAGGGCTTTTGTTCTTGAATAAATATGTAAGCATGAGAAAAGTAGAATCAAGTACCAGTCAGTTGTGGCACAACTGAAATAAGTCCTGGCATTGCAATTTTCCCTGCTCCATTTACCCTTCGAAGGATCATTTCGAGAACAATATTCTTCAGAGAACGCAGTTTAAAGAGAGAGCTTATTTTCTTGCCAGTCTTCTGAGTTTACTTTTGCTGCTGAGTTGTATCAGGTGATAATGAAGAACACAATCATTTCCATCACAGGTATCTGAAAGCCAGGTTAGCTTTTTCAAAACTAAGCCTTCAGAAATTGAACTCAGAATTAGTAAAGAATTTCGCAATATGGACGTTGTTCTCAGGTTAAGGGAGTTTTTGCTGGGTGAGTATGTGCATATGGTTGTTAGGATAATGAGCTGATTTTTCTGCGAGTTCCAAGTCTTTAAACAGCACTGCTAATTCACTGGCTGTCACTCCAGTGCTGTAGAGTTGTGGATTGCTGCATTTGAAATGAAATGCCTGATAGTGTAGAAAACCAGTCTTTGTTCCAAACTTATTTCCAGGAATGTGGATTTAAGGCTTTGACAAGGACATAGAAATCAAGGAAGAGCCTACCTTCCTACTCCGCAGGCACATTAATGCTACATCTGTCTCCTGTGCAGCAGTTCAGATCCCAGAAACCTGTCTTGTTCCTGTCTCTACTATTATCTCACATTTCAGGAAAATACGTACTGTCAACCAAACACAAGCACCTTGTGTGAAGCCTAGCTACTAGAAGAGAGCTTTAAACACCAGTCTTTTAGATAAATCACCAAGATCAATTCCCAGAAATAAATTGCTCATGTACATAGTAGAGGTTATCTTGCTACTAGTCTCAACATTTCATTTCAAAACTGTTTCCCTTCAAGCTTTTTATGTGTAAATTTGTTCCACCAGTACAGTGCTTGCAGGCTTTCTGTGTGTTTGACTGTATAGTGTAAATAACTGCTGAACGTTTTGTATTTTTGTTGTGTAATTAACAAGACTATTTTTCAGAAACATTGTGAACACATTTCTTCTTCTGACTGTATTGCTATCAATTTTGCAAATTAATTTGGGAATTTGTATCTCCTGTAATTATACTGCAAATCTAGTTATGGTTACAAAATGTTACAAAATGGGAATTCCACCAAGAACTTTATATTACAGCATATTGAGTTTATTAAAGTACCCAGAGCTTCAACTATTTAAGTTTTCAGTGAAACAGCAAGGACTGTATATTCATACTGCTTATTTCTGTGGAAATACATTTGACTGACACTATATTAATAGGAGATGGAATAATACCTACTATGATCTGCCATCTAATGTGGACGTTGCAATTGATACACAAAGATTTTATGTAGAAAAAATGTCATTTCAATAGAGACAAGCTTCAGTCTCTCTTCCAGGGGTGCCACAATTCAGCAAGTTTTACACATTTCCCTTTACTTAACAATTTCTAAACACTGTCTGTTTTGATTTCTGAACAATGGTTTTTCACCCCTTAAGCAGATTTCTTGATTTTTTTTGTACTGTGTACTGAAAACACCAACACATTATAGCTCTCAAACACCACAGTGAACCTGGTGCAACAGAACCAATTCAAATACGCATTTGATTTAAGCAGACATGTTCAGTGTCTTAACCAATGGAGGTTAAAAAGCAGAGGTGTCTTTCCAGATCCAGGAGTGGGCACCCCTTCACTCTTACCTCCAAGAAAATCCCAAACCTGCCTGTAAGATCTGTGGAGTTGTACAGTAGGTGCCATGCTGTGGTCTGAAGTATTAATGGAACATTGTGCCTGCCGAGGTTATCGCATTCGATTTTTTTACCTGGGTTTCCCTTCTCACCCAGCAGAAAGTTGCCCTCGGAGATGTGGAGATGCGCAGATGTGGTACCAGCTGTGGCTTTTGAGGGGCATGAGGAAGGGTGGCACCTCCCTCCTGCGTGATCGAGAGTCTGATGACATGGCAGGATACAAGGAAGACACTGCAGCACACCAGGGAGGTCGGACTCCTCTCTAACTTGTATATGGATTACAGAGCAAGTAAAGGACTGAAGCGTTTCACTAAAATCTACAAAAACTGCCTTTGTTCTTTTAGTCACCCCAATGCTACAGTATCCTCACAATTCAAACAATGAGGAGGCACTGTGATGCTCAGGAGCTGGGAAAGGCTAACATGCTGGGGGAAATTCAGGAAACTCTCATCTTATTAGCTATCCCTAATCTAAGGGAAAAGAACATAGAAATGTGAAAATATGTGGATGCAGCAGAAGCAACACTGCTTTACAATTATTACTATAATTAAGATATTTATAAGCCTATGGTCACTAACTAGAAGGTTTTGATACAATTGGACAATACAAGAGGTTCAAATATATATGTAAACTTACACATTCTGTAGTACGTCTACTAGTATTCTCCTATAATTATAAAGTTTGTGAAAGACAGGCTTTGCACATCACAGCCATCAGCCAAAGAAGTTCAAGGGCATCATCACAGGCCCTTATCGGCCCTTCCTATGTAATTTATCACCAGGTCCCCTCGTTAGTGCCAAACTGTTTCACTGGCCCACTAGCTTAACACTGAGAGCTGTTTTTCCAGCAGTCAAGTGTGATGTAATTTGTGTGAAAGTAATTTACGATTTATAGGGTTAGCGCTCTGTCGCCCTGTCAATATTAACTTCCAGCACTTACTTTTTCCAAGGCCTTACTTGTGCCAGGCTGTACAAGTATGTTTAAATTCCATTAAAACTGTGAAAAGCACACGCCATGCCACTGTATGTTTAAAAAAGTTAGTTTTTTTTGGACGCATGATTGATCTGACAGCTAGATTCCTGCCTACAGACATGCTTATTGCTTTGCTACTCAATGTAGTTAAGAGTTTTCAGAAAAATACAACTTTTTTATAATGCAAAATGCAGTGCAAAAACCTGGTATTAAGGACATTTAAAATTGGGTGCCATTTGACTGTATGAACTGTGTGGATCACAAACTGTAACCCTTAAAATGGATGCATACAATGTGAAGTGTACATGATTCAGCTTCCATCTGTTTCCCCAATCTCAGCAGCATGGAGAAAAGACTCCTCATAGTCACATGAGATTGCTCTTCATCAGTACCATACTCTTCATTCTAGGCTCCACACTTGGCTAGTAGGTGAAAAACAAAGGTGAATCAGATGCAGGGCTCATGTACTTGAAAATGAGTTTTCCTGTTGAACAATTGGGGCTTTCTTGTTGTCATCTGTCAGAGTTTACACAGTGAAATGATTGTCCTGGATTGCCCAGTCTGCCATCTCTCCATTTTTCTGCCTTTTTACAGAGTGAGATCCTGCGTTCACAAAATGAATTTGCAGCAGTGCAGATGACACATTTTATGCTCTGGTCATATATGCATCCCATGCCCTCCATCATTGTTCAGATTTAATCCTTCATTTTTTTTTCCCTTCCTCTAGATTCATAGCCGGCTGAAAAGCATGACTGAAGAGGAAAGCGAACATTGCTTGTGCAATCCTTGCTGCTAAAAAAGAATCTTTAATATGCACACTTAAATATTTGTGGCCCCGTGGATCGTTTGCCATTAAACTGACAGGAATGTCCTGAATGTTGCCACATAGTCTTGAAAGCTGTTTGTTTTTACTTCAGATCAATGCAGCTGGAAACTTGTAAATGGTTGCAGTAGGATAACACACAGCCCTTTATTGGATCTGAACCCAAAAAATGACTGCAATTTATTTTTTCTCATCTGCTTTGGCATGCTTTGGTAGGCCATACCATGAACTTACTCCAGTGCACCCCAGATGAAAGAGTTGTATAGACAGTCTGGCCTTCCATGCTGCCCGATGTCTCTTGTGCACTGTTGTCTTTTGGGCCACCACAACCTGCTTCCTTCCTGAGAGCCGGGCGCGGGCCTCAACAATGGGCGGTGGTGTCTGGCACAGGGCTGCACCTCGCCATTCACCCGGGTGGGGTAGCTGTACCTTCAGCAGCTTGAGTATCTCCCTCCCCACACCGTTCTCCACTTGTTGCTCATTGTTCAGCATTTCACATTTGCCAGCCTCAGCCGTATCTCTCTCGTCACAGTCTACCTTCCCTGTTGCACAAACCCATAATAAAAACTCAGTTCTGTACGCACTGCGCTCTGTCAGCCAGTGACGTTGCTGAAGTGCTATTATAGACTTGGCATGAAGTTCACACAAAATATAATTCTGTTGTAAGAGTTAAATGAGATATATTGAATCAACTGTGTGCTTATTATTCATCTTTTAGTGATATAATTAGTACACTCATCATATGAGTCAGAAGTATAACTGTTTCGGTTCAGCATTTCATGATATCAACATTGTAGCAAAATCATTTTTTGATTTCTTGTGCTGTAAATTTTTTTTCAGTGAGGGGTATCCGCTGAATTTTTGGTTGACATTTTGATGTCCTCTATCTAAACGGTACATATTTAGGACTTGTTCACTCTGTTTACATTGCCCTGAAAGTGCTATCTTACACTTAAGGGTTATCTGCCACCTATCTGTTAATATCAACTCATTCTCTACACCTACCGATAACTTATTCCAGTAGTTTTTAAGCAATCACATTTCTTTGGTGGATATAGTGAAGTCCTGTTACTTGACTGCATTAGGCTGAAGATAATTTGAAGATATTACCAAACATCTGTTCTAATTAGGAAATAACAGAGCAATGATAGTGCAATCCACCACAAGTTTGCTAGACACAGCAGCTTCCTAAGTTGGTGAAACCTTTCAAATTTACTTGAATACTTTTAACAGTGGTCACATTACCATTCTGGGCTTGTTTAATCATTGCTGGATTTTAATATTGAAGCTGCTTGCTCTGACAACACACCTGGGCTGTATATCACATGTGCTGGCTTTTTATCCAAGACCTCTTGGGAACCGGAGCCTAACAATAGTGTCTCCTGAAATTTTGACCCAGCTTTCACCTCAGCCTACTGATTGTGAAAATCTGAAATGGCAACCCCCTTTCCCACCCCATGTATACACACACACAAGCGTATTTGTGGACTTTAACCATTAGACTACTACGTTGGGACAACTTGCAACTGTCACATCCGTTCTCTGAGTCCATTCCTAGTATACAGTAGGAACATGTCATTCTTTGAAATAACAGAAGAGGTTGTTTACAAACGTATCTGGAAAAATTCTGTTAACCTGTTGACAATGTGGGTTTTATTTTGACACCAGTTCTTTACAATATTGAGTTATTATATACTATATATACACTGATAAAATCCTAAATCACACATCACCCATCACCTATCTAACCCATCATGCATGGAGACTGTAAATAGCTTATTGTTTTGTGTGCTAGAATGTGATTGGTGCTCACTCTCACATGTGAGAGTAGACATGATGCTGTGCTGCAGTTGTTTTTTAAAGAAATTCCCTTGAAAGCAACTAGCTCCTGAACCAAGGAGATGTTGATATAATCTGCAGAAGGAAGGAAACTGCTGAAGTGCTGTAATTCCATTGCAAAGTCTTTAGGTGCTGCTTGATTCCAGCATCCAAGCAAACAGCAGCGAGAGCAGCATAGCCTATATGCAAGTGCATATCATGCATCATGAACTTTGTAACTCTGAGGATAATATATGTTCTGCATACATAGCAACCAATCTGTGTTGACATGGTAGGAGGTAATTAAACATGCAAAGGCTGCTCAGAACACTTCATAGCCATAATATAGCTCAGTAGTCTGTACTGAGCATGCATTGTAAATGGTGTTAATGTAATCTCCTTTAAAACTAGAGAGGTGTGGGACTACCAGAACAAGCCAAGGCTACTGATGGGAAAAAATAAGGTTTCATAATTACTGTTACATAGCCAAGTATGACACAAATATTGATAGCATTTGTATTTTCCCCCACCACAGCGTCTGGAAAGCAATACGGTTTTGCTTCCCTGACCTTTGCTAAGAGGCCACTGCAGGCTGAGCTCATGGATGGACTTAGCAGAAACCAAGGGGGAAATGTTTTGTTTTCTGCGTCACCAACTCAGGTGCCTGTTGCACAATGCAAGAAGTGCATCTAGTCTAGCATGATTCATGTTGCAAGCACCAAGGAATATTGACAGCAGCTACCAAACAGCTATATGGGCTGAATGGCTCCTCTCATTTCTAACCATTCTTGTGCCAGATAAGGGAAACTGAAAAATCCTGTATGCACTCACTAGAATTCGCAGGCAGACAAAGAGAAATGGAGACAGTGTCTCCAAAACTCATACACTGAATGTGTTCAAAGAGACTTAAAGTTGTGCAGTGAATATTTTTTTTTATCCATCCATTTATCAGAAAGCTACTTTTTTCCTGCTGAGGGTCATGGCCACCCGGAGTCTGTCCTGGACGCCTTTTTTCAGTCTTTATAAATAAAACATAATATTGTTCTGGACTGATATTATCGCTTTATAGCTCTATTCAAACAATGATAACCCATTTTGTGTTTTTCTTTTTTTTTTTTCTGCAGCGGGTGTATAAATGAGCGCTTGGTGAAGGAGCTAGTGGAGTCTGGCAGGGAGCTCCCACAGAGAGGGAGAGCAGAGATAGCGAGTGACAGTGTGAAATGAAACACGCAGATAGGAAGCCCAGAGCAGGCAGACAGGAGCCGGGTTCTCCTCGCCGAAGATTAGTCAGACTCCTTCTGCAGAGACCTCTGCACTCCCCAGAAACCCAGCCTCCGAGCGGCTGTCTCCAGCCCTGGGATGACTCATGTGAGCCAGGCCTGCAGAATAATCACACACTCCTTTCAAAGGCTTAAAGGAAAGATGCTGAGATTATTGGGGCCTGAACTTTGCCTGCCGACCGACATGCTGGTTCCGCTGGTGGCACTTAGAAGTGAAGTGGCTGGTAATTGAACTGCAGCTACGTCAGCTTACTTTTAAACGGATGCCGAATGAAGCTGTAATTAAATGCTGATAAAGCTCTGGCTTGAGTACAGTGCACTGGCTTCCTCAAACCGCAGACTGGCACATGGCTCAAGCTTTGTGCCTGGTTTATTCTCGGTTTCGGTGGATATCTCCCTTTATGTCATAGAGGTGCTGTCTTTAATGATGATACACTTCCGATCTATAGCTCTTTTCCTCTTAAAGGATTCTCCTGCAGTACCTTTAGGAGGGGGCTGCTCTCCCTGTCATTCTCCGCCGAGAGGTAGTCCTTATGCCCCAGCAGCCACACTGCCCGGCTGATCGGGCAGACGGGAGAGGAATTGCTTCATCGATGAATTTGAACCGTAGCTGCTGAGAGGGAGGCAGGCCTGCTTGTGCAAACAAGCCCTGAGGGGAATTTATTCAAGGCGGCGACAATTTAGCGCTTGTCTCCCTTACACTTTTTTTAATAAGCCTTGGCCCAGGCAGTCATGATTTAACATCTGTGGGTTGGAAAAAAGAGGGAAGACCACCCCCTACTGGTCCACCAAGACCACTGACAGCAGCTATTGCTTTTCCTTTGTTTCCATCCCTGTACCCCCAGATCCAGCCCTGCTTCGGGTCCGAGCTGTGACGAGACCAGGCTGCATAGTGGTAACGCAGCTGTCAATTACGATCCTAGAAACACACGAGGGTCAGAGGTCGCATTGATACAGCGGAAAGATTAGGGAGGGGCATGTGGGAGAGCTCTGCTGTCTCACAGCTTTTGGTTCCTGGGTTTAATTCCTGGCTGGGGCTCCTTCTCTGGGGAGTTTGCATGTTCTCATGTGTAGGCGCTCCCATTTAAGACTGTAGGATTAAGACATGCTGTTCAGCCTGACTGGCATTTCTGAATTGCTCTACCTACTCATCTGTGAGTGAACGTGTGTGGCCCATCTTTCGCTCTGTGCCTTCCCGATTAGGTTCCTGCTGTCCGTGATCCTCTAAGGACAATCCTTTTTAATACAAAAAAAAAAAATGAATAAATACATTGATTAACATCAGGCATATAAGAGGATTCATTGCAATTTGACTCAATTTGGGAAGTAAGCAGAAGAAAAATGAATGCCTTTTTGAACTGCAAATGAATACAAATCACACATGTTTCTGGTAGGTGCGTTATAAATGTACTTCTTATATTTACATAACCGGGGTTCACCAGCAAGGCCTCTGTCTCAGCTCAGTGGGAAATGTACAGTATGTAAACGTCAATTTAATGAGCTGAACAGAAATGGCTCACTAAGCACCTAATTTGAAAGTGCAGTATCAGCCATTTATAACGAGACATATATTGCAGTGCTTGATACCAATTGTATAGGTAGCCGGTGAAATATGTAGGATAAGATAACTTATCGCACGGAAAAACTGATTTATATCCGGAGGAACCACACAAAACTATTCTACAACCTGGGTTTATGAGGAAATGTCTGCTGTGTTTTTGTTCGGGGATAGACCATAAACGGAGCCTTTTTTATAAGAAAAAAGCCTGTAGTTATGAATCCTTTCCTTTATTTTTAAAATGTTTAAAAGAAAACACAAACGCTTCTCTGACCGCTGATACTCAAAACATCTTAATTGAATATAGTACCCATTAATGCGTTTGAAAAATATGCAGTATGCGTCTTTTAGATTTCTCGTAGGTCTCGTAGGTATTGATAAATGGAATGTCATGTATTTGAAAAATTGAATTTTACTTGATGTAAACAGATGTAGTTTGGGAACTTTTAATTAGGTATGAAGAATTAATTTCATGCCATGCGCTACACTTGTTCGACACAGATCACATCACACTTCTGCACGTAAATATGACCGCATTACCGAAGATTACTACAATAGCAGATGAATCCCGTTCGGTGCCTTTAATTTGGATTAAGAACGCATGGATGCTTGTTGGAAATTATCATGTATAAAGCAGTACACACTGCCATATATGTGGTGAACTCCATCCCTAATTCACTGGAGAAGTCTCTCGTGTATTAACAGATCACAACAGGAAAGAAACGAACTCGCAGTCTGAGACAAGGGGAATGGCCCAGCGGACGACTCCGTGTGGAAAAAAATAGTTTTTGATTTGTTCCAGCATTTCAAGATGGATCTGTTTTCGGCAGTATTCAGCAAATAAGGTATATAAGCAGCAAATAAGCATGTTTGAGAAACAAAAACTAATGCATTTCACATATAGAGCCCTTAAACGCGTTTCACGTGCTTCGTTTATGAAGAGGATCAGTTCCAATTCGAACCTGGTACCGCTCATTAAAAAATTAAACATCCCGTGGATATGTGTATAAATACATTTACAGACTTTGCTGAATGATTCTGGAGATTAAACCTTTTAAATCTAGAGGTGCAGACGAGTAGCGCTTTTTTACGGAGAACTTGAAATTCTCGCGAAGATGATAAAAAAACAGATTTTCTTGTTTTATATTTTAAAAACACGACGAGTCAAGAGACTGTTTGATTCGGTGGCCCACTTTATCCTCGCAGCGCCAGATGCGATGTACTTCACGGGTTGTGATGTCACCGCCTTCCCCCTGAACAGCACAGGCTGGCGTTTCCTTGTGCTGGAGTTCCTGCTTTTTTTCCAACAGGATACTACAATGCGAAGTGATGCTACAGTATTCGGTAACTGATGATGATGATAAACACCAAGACGTTTATTACTATCACCGGTAAGTGGATAATCTAGACAATAACAGATGATTGATTAGCGAGTAACAGCAGTCGATAGATTTTCTTAGGTCAGTTTTTTTGGCCAGCGTTAGAAAAACCTGCCAAGATTACCACAGATTTCGGACTCTGTTCCCACTGCCAGTGAGAAGCAGAGACATGAATGTACTTTCTACGACACTGTAAGAAATTCTCGGACATTACATTGAGAAAAAAAAACATTCTACCCAAAAATAAACCAAATCCCAGAATTCCCACACCTGCCAGAACAGCTTCCAATCCCAGCCGGGGAGGAGGGAAGAAACTCTCTAGACCTGCAGCCCGGTGTGTGCTCTGTGTGATCTCCTGTCACAGCCTGGGGAACAGAGCGTCAGCCTCTCAAATAATGTTATTGGTCTAAATGTAAATGTTGACTTTTTGTTATTGCTCCGGCAGCGCCGTAATTCATGGGTCATGCCAACAAAGCTCTTGAAATTTGAATTTGAAAAATGCTGCTTGCTACCTGGGTAAAATTTGTTTTCTAGAATTGAGCGTAGCCGCCACTTCGGACGTACGCTGTAAACCCAGAAAGAGGTACTGGGACCACACGCCCCTTTATGTGTGATCAACCGGTAGTTTTCTTTTAAATGTTCATATTTTAGGTTTTTTAAAAGTGAATAAGACTGAAGAGACGGGATGGGTTGTGTATATACTGTATATAGAGAATCACAAATATTTAAATATTTTTTCCCAGCGCAGTTATACTAGAAGTCCGTGTTTTTACTCAAGAGGAAATGGATTCACCTAGGCGATAGTATAGAACAAAACATATAATATATTATATAAAACAAAATATTTACAGAAAATTCAGTTGTATTTCTTAAGCCTAGAAATGGTCAGTTTCCTCATAAATCGAGTTGTTGTAGGTTTAAGTATTAACATCCACTTTTAGAACCTTTTGCTTCTATCAAAATAGTTGGGTTTAAACTTCTTATGCAACTTTTCTTCTCTTACTCGCTTAAATTAATTTCTAAGTAATTTTTAAAGTTCTACATACTGTTCCCTCACAAGTCTCAGTGCTACAGATCTGTATGAATTATTATGGAATAAGCGGAGATTTACACGGGATGTTTTTCTACATCTGGAGCTCTCCCGCTCCTTGGTCGCAGAAAAAAAATAAAACCATTCTTTAAAATCAACCATTTGCTAAACCAAATACTTACGGAAACAAGAGTATTGTAACAGTTTTATTTCCTGTTATTTAAGCATGTACACTGGAATACTGGAAATTTCAAAGGGGGGCTAATTACTAACCTTTGCAATTGAACTGTGCGGAATAATGTGCCAGAAACTAATATTTGGACAAGCACGATGAAATTGAATTATCTTGATTGCCCTTTTCATCCAGGCTCAACACGTTACATTTACTAAAGCACAGAGCGGTCTTAAAATGCAGCTCCAGATTGTTTTAATAACAGCGATGTACTGTTTTGAACGCATGCTTTGTATGACGAAAAGCGAAGATAATCTTGTGTTCTGATTTTACAGTGTTAAATGCTGATTGGATAAATATTTCAGCACAATGCGTGCTTGCCCTCTTGTTATTAAAGACATCTCTACGCATGTTTAATATGCAAGCTGTTGTACTGGATAATTTATTTTTGTGACCTTTGTGGTGAGGTCAGTGTAAAAATGAAACATAAAAGTTGTAAAACACGGAGCCCAGACCCAGTCAGTGGTTTATGTAGTCTGGGATTAAATGCTGGACACGACACCGCGCTTTTCTGCCTCCCGGTTCCGTCGCTGTGTGCGCAGAGCCACAGTGGAACCAGGGTCGATAATAGTATATCCTCGTTTTTAAAAATCACAACTTAAAAAAAGGCAAGATTTACACGTCTCTTCAGAATATTTCATGCATGTTCTCCCGCAGGTCACCAGCCGGAGTGGAGTAAAACCTATATACTGTCGAGGGCGGTTATCGCCGCGCTAAACTCGCTTTGCATCTCCACTTTTAATTGATGGCTTCACACTCAATTAATTTTTATTTATTGCTTTATATATTTTTTTGTTTAAAATATATATATATAGTTCGACTTTGCCTACCGTTTATCTTCATTTTATGTTTCTGTTTTTCCCCAACACCCAATCTCATCATGTTGTAACCTATCGAATTAGCGCATGTTCTTGTAGAATAATCCGTGTGACATTTACAGATTAACATTGGTTTTTTTTTATCTTGGGTAGGTAGCCATGAATTAAGTGGGGAGCTGCTTGAATTTTGGTCTTATGCGCCATTATATTTTTCTGTGGGGTTGTAAAAGCTACCGCTGTGAATTTCCCGGTCCCCGAAATTCAAGAATAAGTACAATGAGTGCAACTCGTTTTTTGTAAATAAATAATTGTTGCGGTTGAAGTGTTCTTGCTTTTTCACAATTTGGAGGCGCTTTTACCCTTAAGTGTTGTCCACAGTTTTGCTTTTGATCGAAAAAGACGTAGATAATTAACTTCGAAAGGCCGAACGTCTCCATGATTAAAATGAAGCGACATACATTAACCTACTGGAGACACCCTGCTTCCATTGTGTTTTCCGAAGAATTATCTCTTTCTGGTAGCGATACAAAAAAATCAACACCAGAGTTCGAGTTATATTAATCCTGTTATCTGTCTTATCGAGTGAAATGATTAACGTCCCACGTATATTTAAAAAAAAAATACAGCAAGAGTTAATTACGGTTAGTAGGCTCAAAAATAATTTGATTCTTCATTCTTCAAAAATAATTATTCTTCATAATTCTAGGCGATGTTAGTACCTATTTCACGCCAAAGTGTCTATAAAGATCTAGTTTGTATATTGGACTAAATATCAGAAACTCTAATATTCTAATTAAAGGGCTGATAGTCCTCATTGTACAGTAACAACACGATTGCGATATTGTTGGTAAAAGTTCGCTTTTTGAAAACCCTCAAGTCCCTTAAACTTTGAAATACTGAAAATAAGTAATTAAAATGTAAAATCTAAATTACATTGGTGACGTATAATATATTACTCCTATCAAAGATTAGCCCATAATTGCGACGAATCAAAATCAATATACGTGACGATAATGCTTGACAAAATAGCTCCTACAAAAGCTCACTTTCAGACAAGAGGGAAAACTCCAGTGACTCACGTATTAGTGGTATCTAAACTCTTAACATTTTATCTCCAATCAAATTGTAGTTTTGATTTTGCATCCATAAAAATTGTCATCCCATCAAGCCCAGTATCGTGGCTTTGTTTTTTAACTACCAGTTATACATCCCGCTTATTATAATTATATTAGTTATCGTAACCTGACATATTTTACAGTTGAGATAAATTTGCAAATAGCGATTTTATTGGTCCCACTCGTCTTTTTTACAATGATTACATTTGATTGTAATAAAAAAAAAAACTATTCTCCCTATCGTCACGGACCTCGGAGATTTACACCGCTTAGGATTTATTAAAAACCATAAACCGGAGAAACCTGGAATTTAACAGAGAAAAAAAAACCCACGTTCAGATACAATTATTTTTAGCCAGATATAAACATTTACTAATTAACCGGCTCAGAGACGCAGATGTAAAATGTTCGGCTATTGTATGCAAAAGAGCCTGGAGGCGTTATCAGACCACAAGACTGGTTTCAGCGTATAGCTACGACGCGTCCGTGAGGAACTGATCATATTAAATGTGAAGTTAAGTATTGATCCAGAGGCGATCCGGACTGCAGGTAGACTCCCACTTTCTCCGAACTCCGTGTCCAACCTAGGAGTGGTCACGTGGCCCTGCCCATACAAATAACTTGCTGTAAAGTTCCCCCAGTCACAGCGAGGCGAACGCTTATATCCGAGATAATCAGACCCAGCAGCAATTTGCAGATAGAGCTTGTCAGCGTTTTACAAGGAACGCGCTGGGCTGTTCGGATGCAGTTTTCACAACGCGAGCTTCTCTAGGTTTTTTTTTTTAATATATTTTGTTTTAAAAACCTGTTTCAGCGGTATTTTCGTTGGGTTTGAAAGAAAAGGGAACCGGCGCGGTTCGCAGCTTTCCTGGACCCTGCGTGTGAGCGGCGAGCTGGAAGTCATCTGCGTGCTTCACTGAATGAAGTTACTGACTTTTATCTACCAACACCAGTTCTTATCTGGTAAGATAATGCAACGAGCGATTTTGGATGAAATTGTATTAGTCTTTCGCGAACAGTTATCAATATTGTTATGTGATTTGTATGATCTATGATTAAAAAAATGTCTGATATGGTCCGGTTATCTGTCGTTGATGAGGCTGAATGCTTTTTTTCTCCCCCATGACGATATTTACAATGTGGAAGCGGGAGTTACCTTCGGGTGATTGAAATGATGTATTTTTTTAGATTTATAATTATTAAATTGTGGTCGATGGAAATTTAAAAGAGTTCAAATAGGAATATGTCGTCATTAGTATTATTAGTGCTACGTTTTGGGGAACTTCATCGCAACATAAGTAGTGCCAATTGGACAAAACTTCGATACGAATTCCAAGATGTATAAACATTATATTTCGGCACAAGTAATATAAAATGTTCATTTCTTAATAACGTTTTCTTTGTCAATATTTCTCACGTCTCAGCTGAACTTTATATAAAAGAGGTTGTTCGAATGGCGAGGTTTTATAAAACCAGGCTACGTCTGTGTTAGTTTAAGGTAGACGTTCTGCTCAATAGTCCTTCATTTAAAAAAAAAAAAATCTGTTGCACTTTGGATCTTGAAGTTGGGATCTTTGAAGTTGTTTTGATGTGTTAAGGTGTAACTCGCAGGTATAAGCACTTACACTCCTCAGGGTGTTGATTGAATTTTGTTTATGGTGACCCGCCATTGTCTTGTTCTGTTCCAGGCCCTGACGAGATTATAATTACGCGGACAGTTCTTGATTGTGATTTAAATTGAAGAGTTTTGTGCCTTGTTCACCCAGACCACGGGGATTTCCACTGAAACTGGACCGCTGCACCTGAAAACCTCGGGAGTGCTCTGACATTTACTCCGGACTCGACATCAGTTCGTGGTTCATCAGTGAAGGGGAAGCAGAAGTCCGCACCAGGCCGCTATAATGTACCAAAGCTTGGCTTTAGCTCCTAACCAACCTCCCTACGCGCACGATTCGGGAAACTACATCCACTCCTCTGCGAGTTCACCTGTGTATGTACCTACAACTCGGGTACCCTCTATGCTGCAAACCCTGCCTTACCTCCAGACTTGCGACTCCGCTCACCAGTCTCACAGCTTGGGTAGCCATCACGGTTGGCCGCAGGCTGGAACAGACACCTCGGCGTTTAACGCCGGCAACCCTCCGGGATTCAGTTACTCTCACAGCCCCCCGGTCAGCGGCGGTACCGTGAGAGAAGGAGCGTATCAGAACCCTTTAGTGATCAGTAACGGCAGCCGGGCAGAACAGTATGGAAACGCCTTGGTGCGCTCGGTCAATGGATCCTACTCTAGTCCGTACCCTACCTACATGAGCCCGGAGATGGCGTCCTCCTGGTCACCTGGACACTTTGAGGGCAGCATGATCAGCCTGCAGAGCAGGCAAGCGGGACTGTCGGGAAGAAGGTCCAGCCTAGGTATGTATCCGATGTGGTTTCAGAATTTCTCAGGGTGTAACGTAACGAAGAGACGTATTACACGGAGTACGACAGAGATCTGTACAGTATCATCCATATTTGCATTGACTTGAACCGCTGAGATTAATAGTTTTAGGGAGGCTGCAGTTCCAGCTAACTGGGCCCCATTTTAGGCCTGTAGCAGAGAGCTCATGCAGATGTTTTCTTTATTATTATTATTAATATTAACTGCCCGATCTCGAATCCTCTTGTGCCAGCGCCTTCAACAGCACGACTTTTTCAAATCCGCATTTATTCGAATGTAATTTATTCGAGTGTAATTACGCCCAGTGACTTTACAGTGCATGTTATACCTAATTTATCCAAATCTCAAAATAAAAGCTTCCATAGTTTCTTAACCGTTTTAAGTCTTATGTCGTAAAAGTCGATTTCCTTCTCTTTTCACTCAGTCTGATAAGTTGTATCTAAATACTGTCATTATTTTTTTAAAGGTGTCACATAGAGGTTAATGGCGGTTAGTCGCTAGGTCGTCGCGCGTTCACGATTGTTACTATGATTTTATTGACCGTATAATTACCATCTTCTTCCTGACCACTGCGTTTGAATCATTTATTTGGTTTGTAGCTGTTAAGATTAATTCTGAACAATCTGTGGCTACTTTTTATTCTCGTTAACATTAACATTAAGTCCAATTTTAGACGTTCCTTTCACGTTGCGAGAAAAATAAATATTCCTCGGCCACGTTTTAATCACAGTCAGACGGTTACCAACCACAGAAATATGAAAACCTAACAGAAATTAGACCAAAATCAGCTGTGGAGTGTTGGGTCTTTATTTTGTCCGCCATTCACCAAGTGAATATGGAAATATGCAGTGGGCTTTTTACAGGAGTGTGTGTTTCGACATCTTTGTTTGAAGGTGATCGCACTTGTAAAGCGGAGAGCCCTTTCAAGTCATTTATTGGGGCAAATTGGTTTATATTGGAACAGACTCGTGGTCTCCTAAATTCACGTCGCCTAAACAATTCCTAAATAGCATCAGTCGTCTGGCCTCTCATCAAAAGACGGCGGGATTCAATCAACATTCGAGCATGAAATCTCATTACTTTCTAATCCACAATATCGAAATTACAGACCTACCTACAACATACCTGTTTTGGCACCGTAATTGAAATGCTAATTTGATTTGAACGGCTGTTTTTACCATAAGTGAATTCTGGGCGAATGACACTTTGTGCTGTTAAAATGAACCATTATCACCCTTTACAGCTCTTTAAATAGTTCAGTGTAATTTAATTTTAAAAGTACAAGGTAAAGGTTAAATTAACGGGTTAAACAGCATTTGGGAAATACATCTTATTGTCATTAAAATCCAAGAAAGTTCGAATACACACGAAATACACACCAAGGTAAATAATAAAGTGCATCGTTAACTGTGAATATGCAGTAGCTATTAAAAAATACCATTGCGGGTATGAATAACCACGAGCAGGAGAATTTTCTGTAAAACTCGATTATTTTTTTACCATATTTTTAGCCATAGGGTAATATTTTAACCGTCGTAACATTAGTGCAACGTCTAAGGAATATACCATGAGACTACCATGGACTATCGCAAAGATTTCTAAATTATACACACTATATGAACACCATTTTCTTTTAAGTCATCAGTTCTCAGTTTTCTTGACATTCGCAAAAAACTTTTTCGTTCGCGAAGTCACTAGTTTCATTTTATATCCGTGTGACTAAAAGAGAGGTTTTTAAAATGCAACCAATATTCTAGCCAAAGAATCCATTTTATTTTTAATATTATTTTATTTTTTTACTGCCAGTCCTTCAATTATTTTAACCATTATTCGTTCCAATCTGTGGGTTTTTATGCCCTTCTGTATTATTAAACAAGTCACCTCTATATCGGTGTTTTTCAAATAAACAACCCTGTCGTTCGGGTCCTATATTATACTATTGCACTTGTAATTTCTAAAGCACAAGTAAGTTGTAATTTCTGCAAATAACATGTTGTTTACATCCTTATTTCCGTGCTGAGAGAGGAAAAATAGATTTTTCTACCCAGTTTATTTTACATATCGGCAATGTACACTTTTCTTAAACTGGTTTTGTAAATTAAATGGGCAGACGATGTCGATTTTGTCCGCACCGATGTGGTTATGATTATTTAATAAAAGGGAAACAATAGCGAGCGGTCTTCTCACAAATAAACTTAATCTTGCAATTTTTTCCTTCAGCTTGACTTTTCACTTTTTCTTGTGCTCAGCATTACAAACCTACAGTAATAGGTCCGGCGGTATTGAATGACGAATGAACAGCTGTTTTGTGGTTTTGTTTCAGAGCTGTTGGAAGAGTACCCGGGCGAGGGTAGAGAGTGTGTAAACTGCGGTTCCATTTCGACTCCTCTGTGGAGGAGAGATGGCACAGGACACTATCTGTGTAACGCCTGCGGACTCTACCATAAGATGAACGGTATCAACAGACCCCTCATTAAACCACAGAAACGACTAGTAAGTTGTGTTTTTTGTCGGACGCAGACATTTCCCTCTATCACAATGAACGACAAAGTTTGATGTTTTGGATAATTTAAGAAATCGATACTTTTAGAATAATAGACCTATAAAACTCATAAGCCGAAGGTTCTAATTCTTATGAATTCCATTTCTGTTTCATTGGTCTGCTCTTAACGATAAAATGTTTCACGATAAGGTGAGCTCATTTGCGCCATACCGTTCATTATGAACAAGAATTACAATAAAAGTATTGCGTAGACCAGGCAAATTCAGCTTTTCGTTATTTTCGGAGAAAACTTTAAATTTATAACAGGAAATGTGTACATAAAAGTATTTTGGCTTCAGGCGTTTCTAATGAGCCTTGGATACACAAGCCTATATTTCATACGTTTCTAATGAGCCTTGGATAGTCTTGTTGAATACACAAATTAGGCGTGTTAAGGGATGGAGGAAAACCTCATACACAATACAAGGTCAACAACTTCCTTGAGAAGGTCAAGTTTGCAATTGGAGTTATTCAGGGACCTCTTTCCCAGGAATAAACTACTTGAGAACCAGCGATAAATAATTTTAGTTTTCGTCCTTCAGAGATTGTGGCCTTGGTTACTTGTTTTTGGTGAGACTAAATGAAAAAAGAAAACAATGTACTGTGTCCTTTTCTTCTCTTTGGGATGTCTTCTAGTGTTAGTGCAACAGCCAATGATATTTTTGTTATAGAGACCGTATTTTGCATCTTAGTTTGTCATTAAAACCCCATAGCTCTTGGAATTCAGTAGTTATCACAATGTAGTACACCTGTAGTACTTTTGTGCTCTGCGGACTCTGTGGGGCTTGTATTGGTTAAATAAGGTAAATATAATTAATTGTAAAGGAGGGTGGGTGGGCTGGCAGTTATTGACCTTGAGCAATGAGAATGCGCAAGATGACGTTTAAATGGTGTTTTATGTGAAGGCTGTGATCTCGTGAATCAGAATTAAAAATGTGGGGAGGATACATTTAGCTGAGAACATAGGCCTTGTAATCACAAAAAAATACTGGAATGGTTGACAGAACAGGAATTAAGTGTAAGGGTGAAAACACTGGTTTATCCACTGGAAATAAGAACAAAAGTCTT